TTATTTTCTAAGAGAAGGACATTTCCAACATCTTTCTCGCTTGAAAAGCAAATCCGCAACAATACAATTTTGGGGATTGCCCAATGGAAAAATATTTATTTTCATATCCAGGAACTCTGCTACTATTAGTAGTTTGCAGTGTGCACCTGCAAAGCTGAAGTCTCTCCAAATGCCAGCCTTTCCTGCTACATTAGTCTCTAGGAACATGAGAGTTCATCTCCCTATTCATATACCTTGATTTCATTCCTTCCCTCTGATGTTCCACCCCATGTTTCCTGCCCTTTCCCTTATCTCAGTTCCATCATGTGTCAAGAGCTCCAGACCTTTGGACCAATCCAAGCCTCAGCTACAAGGACCTCTTTTCATCTTGATTATAATATCCATCTCTCTGGGCTTATTCCAGCCAAGACCAGCATCCATTAATGCTTCCTGGCAGTGGAAAATGTATCTTGACAACTTAATTGCCAGGCTCTGTAAAAGCTGTCATGGTCAAGCAAATTCCTGCCAGTGTCCACAGCGATGACACCTGAACCTTATAGGAAAGGAGATATTATTTGCAAACCAAATCTGCAGTTAAAGTAGATTGACTCGGCATGTTCTGTCAAGAGCAAAGTAATTCTTTTCCAACTAAGATTAGTTTTGGGGAGTAATTTGTAATAGGAGACAAAGTAAAGGGACAGAAGAGCAAACACCTGTCAAGGATATAAAGAAGGAACTAGGATTTAGTAAACATCACCACAGCTACAGCACGTGTCTGCTGTCCCATGTGCCAGCCCAGGCACACAATGCTCAGCTTTGGGCTCCTGCCCTGTGCACAAGGAAGGTCCATGCTGTGACCCAACAAGCGAGCCCCTGCTTCAGAGAGAGTGATTCAGCAAAGCATTTGCCCATCAGGACAGAGCCTTTCAAGACCAAAGCAGAAGTTGCAGCAGCACATCCCACCCACATGGGACAGGAAGACATTTGGTTGTGTTTAGACCCTTCTGCTTGCGCAATCCCCACTTGCAGTGATGCTGTGTTGACATCTACTTGCTTATTTTCCCTTGCTGCAAATCCCACCTGGCCAAGCAGCCCTGGACATGTGCACTCCACTCCTCTCTTCTGCTGCCTCTCAGGTTACCTCTAGTCCCAGCTGTGAAACATCTGTCACCATTTCTGCAGAATTTCAGTGACACAGGCTGGGAAAGGAGGCAAGAAGACAATAAAGCCAACTCACCTGTTTGTCAGAGATATATGCATATTGTCCATGCTTCCCATTCTCAAACCACACGGGCAGTTGTTACTACACCAAGCACTACACTGTTTGTTTAGGGGCCTTCTACATCAAGGACCTGAATTTTTAAATTGCAAACAGTTGCATTTACATCTTGTTTTCAGTGAACAACTTGAGTGGAGTTGCTCATACCTTCATGCAAATGAGTGTTGAAAGTGCTTGTCTTGCAGTTCCAGGGGGAGAGCTGGGCAGCAGGAGGGGTCTTGCAGCAGAATGGAGCAGGGAGATCCCAAGGAAATGGCATGGATGAGAGTTCCCTGTAGTAGGGAGAGTCTTGCAGGAAAAAACAGATATTCTAACAGATGCCAAACAGGAGCCCTAAAGAGGGGAAAGAGGGAGGCCCATTCACCAGTCCCCAGTGTGAAAGCAGATGGGTCATGGAGCAGAAATTGTGATAATCATGACAACACTGAAATCCCCAGTTACTCATATACAGCTGTTGTGTAGTGGGATTGAACATCACAGGAGTGTAGGGAGAGCCAGAAAAGAGAGGTCTGCCAGAGGGGCTTGCCAGCACAAACAGCACCAGTCTCTTCATGTCACAACTCACTTGGTTCTTGAAGGAACAAATGCCCCTAAACTGCTGTGGCAGACTGCAGAAGGTGCCCTGGCCAGAGCACACCATGGGGCCATGCCAGGGCTCTCTATCTCTGTGGCTGCAAGAGCAGCAGGGAGTAGGTGGGCAGAGCTTCCAGGCTTCAAATGGACAGACTGCAGAGGACTGAAAAACACCACGGTGAGTTCAAAGTCTGCTGAAGCATCTGCCAGAGTCAACAGTCCTCACTGTATACAAGAGCAGTACTTGTACACCCTGAAGAATTGCATAAGGTCCTGACACCTTCTATGAAAAAAAGAAAAAAAAGTAAGAGACTTAAGGACCTTGCAGAGAGTATTTTAGCCCAAAACCCAACCACAATGAGAGGCTGGAGACAACACTGTCAGTTCATAATGCCAGTTCTGCAAAACCTCAGGAACTGCTGTGAACCACATGGGGTCTGTGGTTATTGGCAAGCGACACCCTTAATAAAGTGTAATTTACAGCAAACTGAAGAGTCCCCAGAGCGCTGGTACCTTTCCAGTTTCACAGAGGGATGGTTTGGCCTTGTTACAGTTTTAAAGGGCAACACAAAGGGTAAGCAAGAGCAAACGTAAAAGAAAGGGTAGCAAACCCCCAACACCTCATGAGCCTTTGCTTCCTTCTCCCCAGGAGTAACAACGCGTGGCTTCCGTCATGCAGACCCCACCGGAGCTCCACCACAGATGGTGCCACTCAGGGCTGTTCCTCACTAGCAGCCCTTGGAGCAACCTGCAAAAAGGGGTGGAAAGCAAGAACAGAGCAAGCAAGAAGGCTGCCAGGAGCAGGATGGAGCCGCTATTGCTGCTCACAGCAACAGAGGCAGTTTTAGCAGGTCTCTGTCCTGCATCTTCTCAGCAGACAGGCTTGGAATCTGATTAATGATCCCTTATCACCAGCTGCGATTTTTGTGGATGATAATTTCTTCTGGCAGCAGGAAAAATTTAGAAGGTGCTCAAATACTGACAGAAGAGGCTACTGGGGCACTGGCTTCATCAGCTCATTGCATTTCAAGCACATTTAATGCAGGTTTTAGGGGTCATTATTTGAAAACTTAAATACTTGAAATCACTACAAATCATAGTAGCTTTCAAGAGCACTGATTTTCATTTGCAAGAATTTATTTTAAGCCACAAATTGTGCACTGCTTTTATGAAATCATGTAGATGTCCCTGCACGTGATTTTAGCTGGAATCAGCGAGCAGACATCATCAGAGCACATTTTTACTGTCTGACATTCATCATTCTCAGGCTGCATAAATAACATTCATGAATGTACTTGTTTCGTCACAGCTCTAAGACAAACTCTACATTCCCCAAAACAGCTAACCAGTCCCAAATGGGGGACTCTCAACCCTACATGACTCTACTTACTGAGGGGATTTTCCACTTAGAAAGAAGCAGTCATAATTTATTTCTAAACCATAGTGTTTGCTTACATTAGAAATCAGCATAAAAAATACTAACAACCACTTATGTCGGAGTCTGTTGATAATAAAATCAGGTATTATTATTATCAGTTATAATAAAATGTGATGCAATACATAAGCATTTTGAGAGTTTAAAATCAATTCTCATTACCTGCAGTAGAGAAAAAGGATTTGATAACTTAATTGAAAAAATTCTATGTCTTTGGTGGGAGTGAAATTAATTGGTATTAGGTAAAATCCTGTAAAAATTGAAAGAAAAATCAAGTGACTGTGAAAGAAAGACATTCCAGCCTTATCTGCAAGAGAAAGTGTTTACAGATCAGGTCTAAATGGACTCAAACACCGTGTATGTTCATTCAAGGTCTTCTGGAAATGTCCTGAAATAAAGTTTATACAAATAAAGAACATATTTGCTTTAAGTAACAGCTATAAAAGAAAGTACAGGAGGTACGTGCAAACCGCCAGCAGAGTTCTGTTAACCCACCATTGGTGTCTCCTGCTTTGCATACCACCCTATTCCCAGATTCACTGACCCCAAAAAGCCAGGGAAACCCTTAACTCAAAGGCCTGGTTTTATCTTAGCGTAGTTTCAGAATATAAATTAATTAGAACTGTCTGTAGGTCAGTTACACCTCAAAACAACAATACCTTTCCTTAAAAACCTTAAGCCATTTCATGCCATGGAAATTCTCACTTCTGCATCTGCCCCAGCACCGGGGCCCCGAAAGGAAGGAGCCTTCTCTCCCTGCAGGAGATGGACCCAAAGATGGGCACTGGCTGAGCCCTTGAGCCCACAGGGAAGTTCAGGCCAAGGCAGAAGGTGAACCAGACAGTGACAGTCCATGGGCCATCACGATGTCTGAGCTTTCTGTGCTGCCTTGAGGGTGCCATCAGTGGTTCTGCCCTCTCACAGCAAGAAATACTGCTGGTCAAATTCACACCTTCAGATTCTGCCTGGATGTGCCCCCAGCTCCAGCTTTGGTGGGGCAGGGCTCAGCACAGCATCTGACATGACCACTCAAGATGTATCTACTTCCCACTATTGCTCAAAACAAAGTGGTCTGGGTTTCCCAGTGCCTTAGATGAGAAGCCTTGAAGAGGACATTCACTGCAACAACTAAACTGCCAGCCCAGAGACAGGGTGCTTTAAAACCAATTTTTCCTTGTAACTTTCCAAATGTAAACCAATCAAATCTCAAACAACCCTCTGAGGTAGGTAAGTATCTTTTAATGTTTGTTTTACAGGCAGGAGAAAAGGGCTGATAGGGCAGTGATTGGCCCAAGACCCCATAATGAGTCAGAGGGAACCTGACCCCTGGTCCCTCCTCACAAAACCCTGGACCACGCTCTTCCTCGTTGGGTCCAACATCTTCGCCAGGTATTTACAGCAGCTGGTGCACCTCTGGGTGCTTATTGCCTAAGGAGCACGTGGTGTAAAGCCGGACTGGGGACTCGTGTGCCCCTCCCATAAGGCTTAGTGAAGAACAGTGACATGAAGCTGATGAGTTATCTTTATTGTAGAAGCACGTTAAGACACAGCGAGGTGGCAGAGACTGCAATGACATGCACAGGGCAGACCTGGGAAGACACCACGGAGTCCCCACAGCCTTTTGCCCTCCACCTGAGCAAGGATGGGCCCCGTTTGCTGCAGAAGGGATTGAAGGCAGCTCTGGCAGTCCTGGGGACTTGGCAGCTCCCCTGATGATCAACATCGACTCTTCCTTTACTTGCCCTGTGGAGACAGAGGGCAGACAGTTCATTACTGTAGTCCCAGAAGGCAAAGGGACATGAAAGAACCATGAGGAAACACCAAAGCTGCCCCCAAGCTCTGCAGGGGTTCTGGGCCAGCCTGCCTCTCTGTGATGGGAGACAGCAGCACGCTGCTCCGCCAACATCCTCCCTGCTCTGCAGGGACAGCCTGGCTGGGAAAAACAGAGCCAGAGGAAAAGAAGTGGGCAGAGCCCACTATTGCAAGTTCCCACAGACTCAGCCCCGCCATCCCACATCTGCAGTGAGAGGAGGAATTCTGCAAAGCCATCTGTCCCAGCCCTGCTGCTTGTCCAGCAAGGTAGGACACTCCAACCCTTGTGAAACACAGCCCCCAGAGGACAGGCTGGCCAAGCAGGAGTAAGTCACTGCCCCTCTCTCCGTACCTTTGGTCACAGGTGATCCCTGGTGTTTGCTGGCAGTCTGAACTCCATTACTCCTGGAAAGGAAGAGCAAAAAATAAGTCCACTTGACCACTGCTGTGTGACACTGGTATCAGTGTGACAGCCCCTCAAGGTCAACTCAGTGCCCACATGAGATAACTGCAGCAGAGCCTGGCACAAGGACAGGCAGATTGGGCTGCTGCCAGGTGAGGAAAACAAGATTAATTTCAGCCTGAAGCTAGGTGCTTTCCACACCTATTTTCTAACTGGGAAAGGTCCTGCTTTTCGTCTTTTCTTATTTTGCCACCTCAAAAAGCAGCATGGCAAAACAGAGAGCCTTGTAAGGATACTGGGACTTTCTCATCTAGGAGTTTCCTATTTGTTAAGAAACAGGTTTAAAAAATAAAAAAAGGAGAAACTGGATATCCCCTTTTTTCTCCCCTGACTTATTGACTAATGTGGGCAGACTGGTGACTACGGTCTGGGTTATCTGTAGAAAAACCTTTAAATTGCAAGATATGCAGCATTAAAAGTCAGATGTGCTGGAAAGACCCACAATCAATTCATCCATGTAACACGGCACTGCAGGACGTACCAGCCAGTTAACTTACAAAGAAAAGATATCTAGACCCAGGATGCCGACCTACATTCCTCATCAGTAAAGCAGAACAGGATCAAAGGAATTCAGTTAAAGCACAGACCAGGCAAGGTGGTAAGACCCAACGCTGGCCAGTGGGGACAGGCTGACTCTGCAGCAAGGTTTTCCACCTCAGCCGTGCACAGAAACACCCTTTAGTATCAGATCTCTATCGAACCACATTGCTCCCATCCCTTCCTACAAGCATCCTTCCCTGATGGCCATCAGGTTACCAGAGCTGTCAGAAACACATGGAAATCCAGCTGCAGCTTTGCAGGCAGGAGTGGATGCAGGAAAAGGGATGAGGCAGCTTGAACACACATTTTCTCAGGCAACCCAGCACTCCCTATGGATATATTAAAAATACAACTCAAGGAAATATTACATTTTTTGGGTAACAATTTCTTATCTTCCTCCAAAGCATTTCATATTCTGCACATTCCAACTCTCTAAATCTATTTCTGATGCCAAAAGCACTGCTGGAAGCTGGTTTCCTCCAGGTTTTAGTAGCGTATATTCAGTGCCTGAGTCTTCAGCAGAAAGAAAAATTCATTATACTGAAAGTGAGCATGAATTTCAGTGCTGAAAATAGCTTTGCTCTGTACATTGTTTATAAGCTCCCATAAATTTTCAGTCTGATCCTTCAGGTGACATAAAAAAAAAACTACGAATAAATCATTGTGCATGGGGGTTTTTGTTTAACTTTTCTTACCCCTCAGAAAAAGCTTATCACTTTCCCTTTTAATTGCATCCAACTCTCCTTGGAGTACTTAACACAGCTACAAGCTGTGACTTTCAGTAAATGGCATCCCCCTTTAATTGCAGTGGCTTGAGAGCTGTAACAGCTAAACATGAAACAGTAAGGAATTCCAGACCAGGCACAGTTTTGTGGGAATCCTCTTACTTTTCTGTTGCCACGGTGTACCCAGTCTCATTCTGTCTCGGGCAGTGTGAGCACAGTCACGAGCAGACTTACATACTGTCTGGTCTTCCTGTGCCCCCAAAATTCACAAGCCAACAGTGGTTCCCTCTCACTAAAAATCAAGACACAAAGGCCTCCTGTACCATCACAGGCAAAATTCTTTCTCTCTGCACTACAATTTCTTCAATGAAACAAAGTTTAGAGCACCCTGCTGCTTTACAGTAGAGGAGAAAAAGAGCCAGGATGTTTAGTTTTAGTGTCTTGGAGATCTGGGGGCATCCTGTCGCTGAGCAAAGGAAGGCATGGCATGACTTCTCTCATATCTCATAGCTCCTTGTTGCCTACAAACCCATGGATACCACATTCTTATTCAGAAGTCGAAGCTCCATCCAAAACTTTACAGAACTTCTCTTTGACAGGTTCAATATTTGGATCACCTACAGGTTTAGGTGACCTATTTCCCTTGGTACGAATATTCAGTTTCCAAAGAGTTCATGCCAATGAGGACAGTTGTCCCTGGGTGCCACAGGACAGCCTGTGAACTCAACAGACACAAACTGGGAGACACTGGCTGCAAATCCAAATGCTGGAGACTGTCAAGCTTCCACTGGTAGAAAGACAAAGCACAACTGAGAAATGTTTAACTCAGCTGCTATGTGGGATTGCACAAGATGTCAAGACCTTTCCAGAAAGTATGCCACCTAGTGAATAATTTTGATTTCCCAACCATGTACCTGGATATTATTTAGGGAAGGAGCCATTTGTAGTTTACACAGTTGTGGTCTTCCTGGCCAAACCAAAGTCCCAGGAGGAAACTCAGGCATTTTCCCATCACTATCCTACCATACACCCTAAGCAAAACACGGAGACTATGCACAGGTTATATATTAAATCTAAGTCTCAACCTGTATATAAATATCTGGACCATGAACATCCATTCCTGGGGCTCTAACGATCCTGCCACAGATGGCAGAGGCCAGGTTGGCTCCCCAGCAGGCACTTGGAGTGAAAAATGGGATACTACACACAGCAAGAGGCACTTTTTCCTCCACACCTCAGCAACATTCCCATCCAGAAAAACAAAGGCGGGGAGGAAGAGAGATGGGGGCCCCAATACCTCTCTTCCCTCCCAACAAATGCGGCTGAAGAGCAGCTGCAGAGCATGGCTTTAATTATCCCACTGTTAATTGAATGAAAAGTTAACCCAGTTAACCTGCCAGTAGGGTCTAAGTGTAGACCCCCCAGCTACTGCTGAAGGGCACAGTGGGCAGTTTGTGACTGCCCACTGTCTCATTCCTCACTCCCCACTGTGGCTGCCTGGATTTGATCCCCACAGGCTGAGACAGTGCCAAAAGGGGAGTTTCACCAGAGGAAGGGAAAAGATTGATGTTCACAGGCCAGCCGTGGCGTGCCGCTTACCACTTCAGGGGCAGGCTCTCGGCACTCGCCTTGATAGTTTAACGTGATGAAGTTTGAAGCTCTCCTGCAAAGGGAGGACAAGACATTGCTTATTATTCACTTGCAATGCCACAGCTCTCTCTGCCATCAGCGTGACAGTCCTCTGTGGACTCCTTAATGCTTTGATGCTTATGGTGGCATTTATTACTCCCCAAACAATCTGTGATTGGGCAGAAAGGGAATAGGGGACCCTGGCAACTTGTGTATCTTAATTAGCTGTCATCAGATTAATCTCAGGCATTTTGATCTATGTTTGCTTAACAGCAAAGCGCTGAGGACACACTTGATAGTGAGTCATGATGTATCAAAACAAACACTGTTCTGCAAAAGACACTTGGGAATGGTGGATGGCCCTGTATTAGTGAAATCTCTCCGCCTACTCACATGGCAGCTGAACACAAGTCACATTCATTTTTGTATGTTTTCCCATCAGTGCCACAGACTGGTTGTGAGGATTCGCTGCAGAAAATCCTTCCACCCTTTACCCCGTGCAGAATTCGATCACAGTCCAGCTGAAGAGACAAAGAAATCACATTTGGTGCTGGTTGACTTGCAAGACCCTTCTTTACATGACTTAAAACTGCTCATAAACCAAGCCCTGCATGGGGCCCCTCTGCCCTCTAGCATGTCCATCACACTTCCAGCCAGGACAGACTTGGAAAGAGATTGTGTCTCTTGTTGGACCAGCCAGTCAAGCTTTTAGGAACAGAGCCCTCACGCCCCACTCATCTAATCCACCTCAACACCATGGTCTTGAGCGGGTTTATTTCTCTCACTGTGGATCCACAAGAAGACAAACTTTTGCTACCTGTTCTTAGCCCTCCTTATCAGGGCTTTGATGCCGTTTCATCTCCAAGAACGAAGACGAAGCCCATTGGCCAAAATTAAGGAAAGACGTCTCCAGCAGACTGGCGCTGCCCGAGGGCGGTGCGACACGCAGCACAACTTCTGCCGCCCACTGCGTCGACAGACACGAGCATATCTGAGCAGCTATGACTAATGAGGGGTGCCCTCTTGTTTCCTCTCGAGCATGGCAACGGGAACATTTAGGCACAGTTTTCCTTACAAACCACACGTGGCACAGCCAGGACAAACTCACAGCACAAGGAGTGACCTTTGGAGACCCCGAAAAAGCCTCTCACACCCTACCAGCAGAGCGGGGCGGGTGTTTGCAGAGTCATAGCAGATTTCCAACAGCAGAGGTCAGGGATAGCACAGCCTGTTCCCTGGCACACACAGCCCCTTCCTCAGCTCCGCCACCCACTGCTGCTCCAGGCATCGAGGAAAGACCGAGATGAAAAAGTGACTAATGGGCTCCCAACCCCATCTCCAGGTGCTACAAAATATGTTGCTACGACTGCGAATGGTACAGTGGGACTGAGAGGGTATTCCACTTCCCATTCCACCTTGAGATGCAGCATTTAGCTCAAAAATGATGGTTTATCAATAGCCCTGCAGGGTGGGAAGCACTACAGGGAAGGAAGATTTCGTGCCAGGTGCTGTAGGGGGGTTTCAGTGATGTTGGGGTGCTGTGATAGCACCTGTTGGTTAAACATCACTTGTTAATTTCAGTAATGTGCTGCTTCCTCCCTCACCTGGGTAATTATTGGTGATGTGAAAGCAGACAATGCTGATCTTTGCAATCCTCTGCTCAATGCCTTCCTACGCACCAGACAGTGCTGCCTGCACCTCTGCCCAGGACAGGTGGCCACCCCACCAGCAGCTCCATATATCACAGGTGCCAGCAGCCAGTGCCACCACTCCTTTGGCTCTGGAGAATTGTGTGACAAAACCCACAGGTGGCCCTGGAAAGAGGAGAGGAGCAGATCTGCTCTCTGAATCACCTCTTGTCGGTCAGGCTCATCAGCATCCACTCCCCCTCCAGTGCTACCAGGAAATACCACTAAGCCCTGAAGCAGACTGGCCTTATTACACCTAATGCTTCCTCTGGAATACATTAAAATTGCTGTACCTGAACTACCTACTGGGTTTTTAACTCAAATATCCCTTTTCTAAAAGCGGTCAGTGACAGAGGCTTCAGGGAGAATTAAGGCAATTGGTAGTAAGGTCTCTCCACCCATGGAAATACACTTCCTATCCCTTCCAAAATGTTATTTAAATTACTGTATGCAAATGCTAGAGGAATTAAAACATCAGGTAATTTTTTTTTAACCATCCTACCTCTTGACAACACCCTGTGACAGTGAGATCCACAGTTTAGTCACTCTTTTTGCGGTAACTTATTTTCTCTTATTAGTTCATATTTTCCACTTTTAGCTTTGCTGGAACTATTCCATTTTCTTTCATGAGAAGGGAGAGCAGACACCCCCACCTTCCTCCCACATTATTCCATACACACTTGTCATCTACCGCTCAGTGTTTCCCCCTTTAGCACTCCCTCCTCCTGCCAACCTTGTCCTCATGCCCTGGTCAGCTCCATAACCCTGTTCTGGCCACGGCCTTTACCTCAGCATCCTCTCAACACGAGGGAGGGGAGGGGGGAGATGGTACTTCTCAACCCAATTTGGCTACATGTGGGGCAGGCATCCAGCCTGAGTTCAAAACCAGCACCCCCATAGCTGATGTACTCCCATAAGGAGCCAAGCCCTTCCCTCTGCTTCAGTGCCGGGTGATACAGGGACTGGCATCAGAGTACAGATACTTTCACTCATTCAAACCCTTCCAAGGACACAGGGCCAAGTGAGAGGCTTTAGGGCTACAGCAAGAACAGGAGCCTCTGCTGGGAAAGGAGCAGGGGGGGCTCAGCACTGGCAGAGAAGCCCCCTGTGGGAGAGGTCCCCATTTCTGCCCATACAGCTGCCATCCAAGGTGCAGGAGGTGGCTTTACCATCTGGGACTCATCGGTGTCTCTGCTCTGTGACTTGCGGCCAAGTGACCGGTTGCAGTTCCTGCCACGCTGAGCTGTGTTTCGTTGTGGGCTGGCAGAGAGAGCAAAGACACTGTTCATCACACCATCCTCCCAAACAGAGGGAGCACAGTGCAAACCCACCCTCCCCACAGACCCCCACAGCTCTGAGAGCCGTTTGCACTATGACAGCCACCCACTCACGGGGATAGGAGAGGGCACATTCTATCAGGGAGGCAACCAACAGCAGGACAACTTTGCCCTGTGCTCAGCCCAAGTGTACCACCACCCCAGGGCTCTGCACCCCCATGTCTGCTGGCATCACTTGGTGGAAGAGGGACTGAGGAATTACACCAGCCAAAAGCAGGAAATCTCAGTGTTCCCCAGAAAAGGCTCTGAAAAAGCAGCAGCTGAGTCCTGCTCAGGTCCAGCAGCTATAAAACAAACAGGAGTGCCTGACCAGTGCCCAGAAAGCACATGATACATCAGGCACTACCTCTGAGCCAGGGGATGAGGATGAGCCAGGGCTAACCCACGGGTGCACTGCCAGGAGTCAGGGTTTGTTGGACAAAGCGTCCTGAGAGGGATTCTGAACACAGCAATCACTGGTGCTTAGTACACAAAGTCAAGGCCAAAAAGGAGTAAGGGTTGCATGAGAAACATGCCCCACTATGCCTCTTTCCCATCATCAGCTTAGCCAGTGCAAAGACATGCTGTACTGAGCAGCAAACAGAACAACATGGACTTCTCCATCACAGACAGTGCTGCTTGTGTGCTGCCAAAACACTCCTGCTCCAATAAACCTCCTGACCGTCCCTAGGGAAATACATGTAGGTGGAAGGGGGCAGAAACCAGTGCCAGGGCTTGTAGTATGTAGGGAAGGACAGGTTGCCAACCCAGGTGCTGCTGAACTCACCCTCGGCCCGTTGAGAAGGGACGTCTCTCATTTACATCCTGCCGTGAACCACCACAGTTCTTCTGCAAAAGGGGAAGGGTCACATTCAACAACCACAGAAACAACTTTTATACAACTAGAGAAGTGGCAAAGCTAAAGCAGCTCCTGCCCTCCCCCCCTCCTCCTCCCAGACCCAGAGAATTACAGTGCTGTAATTAGAGAAGCAGGTTTGATATGCTCCAAACCCACCAAATGATGTCATCCGATGGCTTACAGGATTGTGGAGAGTCTGGACCTGTCCTTTATCTCTCATATAGCATCACTGGGAAAGTGAGGGGCTGTTCTTTCAGGTCCAAACATGTCCAGTTTGTATGTTTACACCATCCCACAAATGAGTGAGGCTTTGCAATATAATCTGCATCTCCCCCATCACTCACTGGCTACAGCACCCTAAGCACCCTGACTACCCCTAAGATGACCACAGGCAGTCCCTGGCCACCCAGATCCCACAGACTCTTTCACTGATCTCAATATAGGTTCCAAGCTCCATCTCACCTGGTTTGTCCTCTCTGAAGTGGGCAATCTGTTACGCTGGCCAGTTCCACCAGACTGACCTCCTCTTTGAGCTTCCTTTTTGCTGGAAGAAGGGAAGAGGAGAAAAAAGGTAGTGCTATGGCAGCATGAGTGCCACCAGCACCCAGGGCTGCCCTGTAAGCCAGCATCATGCCGTTAGGCACCACCTCCCCATCCACAGTCCCTGTTCCTGGTGGTCCTGTTCCTAATTCCCACCTCTAAGCCTTCTCCCTTCTCCTCACCATTCCCACTGTATGCTACATCCTGGATCCAGGTGGCTGCTTTCATATCAGGGCTGCTTCTGCATATGCTCTATGGGAGTAGAGAGAGAGCATCTGGAAGGCAAAGTACATGCATGGGAAACTCCTCAGGAGCTGCCCATGCCCAACAGTCCCCTGGGAAAGAGACTGCTCTCTGTCAAACTTGTTTCTCCTCCTCTACTCCACGCTGCTTCTCACCTGCCCCTGGGCCCTTAGCGCTGAAAGGGAAGCAGGAAGAGGGGCAATGGTTGCAGCCCTACTGTCAGAGCATCTCTTGGAGGGCCACTGGGAGTCAGGACTCTCCCAGGCATTGCCCAGATGCAGCTTCACAAGCCAAAGCTGCAGTTTTGCAGCTGGAGGTTTTCCCCCTTTGCTATTGTTGCTCAGAGGAAGCTGTACTCACAACTTGTCGGCACACATGAGACATTTGTTGGTGTGCTGCTTGCCAGAGGCATCCCGGACAGGGTTATTCTCCCTCGTGCAGGACAGTCGTCCACCAGCTTCAAACTGGGAGCGAAACTCACTGCAGTCATCCTGCAGAAGGAGGGCAGCAGTTTAGGGCACCCTGTCCTCCTTGTCTTATTGACCTGACCCTTGGGAACGTGGGGTTCCCTGCCAGGAAAGCATTGAACCATCACAAATGCATCCCGGGAGAGTCTGGGTGGGGGTGAGAGAAGAGGGTGTGCAGCACCAGTCACTTAGCATATAAACAGAGGAGTGAGTCAGAAAAATTCCAGATCCTTCTGCCTGCACAGCACGTGTTGGGGAGTTTTCTAGTATGGTCCAACTAATTATTATTCTCCTCACTGGGCTATCCAAAGCATGCCAGTGATGTGACCAATACGGTGATAAGTCACTCCCTCTTCTCCCAACATCCTTAATACATAGCTACAGCCTTTTCCCAGATAGTAGCTCAGATAATTTTCTTTACAAAGAGAGTAGTGTCCTCCAAATCAGCCACACTTTGGGATCAAAGTCAATATAGAAGAAGCAGTTAAAACATTAAAGTACAATGCAAACATACTTAATAGTCCACAGGCAGAGGCAGGTTGTTTGGAGAGTGGATCATTAATTTGTTCCTTGTTCAAAATTGCTGCACAGAAACTGTGTTAACTTGCCCCTGTTATGTAACATGGATGGAAACATTCGGCCTCCCTAATTTCAACTATTTCACACACTGCAATAGCCAGTTCCAAACAGCAAGTACAGAGGGTAAGTAACTGAATTTCACTTACTCTTTTCTTTTTACAAAAGAAGTTTTAACACTTGCGATTTTCTGCCCTTTTTGTGCACAGGGTTTTTGATAGCTTGCATGAAGGTCCCTAGCAGGTCACTGGCCTCATTCTTTGCTTTGCTCAGAAGTTTATAGCACCTCCTCCTCTCTGCCAGCAGATTTCCCCAGTGTTGTCCCTCATCCCATCCAGAGCATCTCAGCCTCCATCTCCTCAGCTTTCCCATGGCACTAACACAGGCAAACCACTCTGAGTGCAAAACCCCAAGTTTTCCTAGAGCCATACTAGGCATGGGTAGGAGAGGTGATCCGGTGCAGGATGAGCCTGCTCCTGCTGTGCTCAGCAGTCACAGTGCATTACTCCCACCACAAATAAGTACTGCACCCACTTCAGAGGGGCTCCCCAAAAACTTCGCTGTTTCTTCCCCACCACCAGCATGTGCTCACACCCCTAAGCAGTTCAGGCAATGCTTTTGCTCCATGACTAGCCCAGGAAAGCTCTCCCAGCCCCTCTTTTTCTTGTTCCCTGGGACCAGCCCAGCTCAGCAGCCCAATCCTCAGCCCTCAAGACAAATCTGCCTTCCCCAACAGCCTCTCTCAAACGCTCTCCCTTTGAACCAGTATTTCTGGAGCCCTGTTAACTTCTCAACCTCTGCTGCAAAAATCTCACTGAGTCCATCTGAGTTGTGCATTTGCCTTTTTCGTGGCTTGTCACATCCCTGACCCACTAATAAATGCAGAGCTTTCTTATCCTCTGTCACTTTTAACCAATGAGTATGAATTCTTATTAATCACTGACTGTGTGATCTTGCAGTGCCATTATATTTTATCTTGTTTCTATTACTCCAGGCCTCAGTGGTATCCAATTAGTCTTGAGTGATCTGCTGATCCTTTTCTGCTGATACTGCCTCCCAGCTTTACCCCAAGCAAATTTCACTTATACTTCTATTTTTTGGTGCCAAAATCATTAGAAAAACACTAAAACAGGATTATCCCCAAGACTGAAGCTTAAGGGGACCGCACCAGTCCCTACTATAGCAGGAATCAAGAGGTAAGGATTGGAAAGCGACTATTTTCCACCCTTACAGAGCTGTTTTTCCCAGCAAAGCATCAGGGCACAGGGACATGGTGGCTGCAGCATGCCAGGGAAAAGGTGGTGAATGGCAGCTCCATGAGAACAAAGCTTCCAATAAAAAAAGCTAAAACTGAACAACAGGCCTGGAGATAACACAAGGCTAAGCTTTCCTCCCAGAACACAATGATCTCTTAAAATGTGTAGAGTTCAGATTCAGTTTTCCACACATTTTTCTTTTTCACCTAATTAGCACCGTCAGCAGCACTGACATGTCCACCCTCTGATTTAGGACAGTACAGCACAGCTGGTTTCCTACTCTGTTGGGGTTTGCCTGTACCTAGATCCACAGGTCAGTGGGACAGACAATGACATGCAGGCACAAGTTGTTTACTTGAGGGATTCAAGAGCATGAATAATAAATAGGGAGGGAAAGGAAAGTGGATCTCAAAATTAAGTCAGAGGAGACCGAGCAACTGCATAGAATAACATTGCCTTTTGTCTGTCTCGGGTGGAAATCCAATAAAGTTCTATATTGACCTGCCTAATACTTTAATCTCACCTTATCTTTTCCTTGTCTGTTTTTAGATAACTTCCGCTCATTCTCCCTTTTGCTGGAAGAGAAGGAAGATGAGAAAGTGAATACCAGGGTGCTCCAGGGAGGAGAGGTTTCCCCTTCATCAGCCGCAGGAGGGGCAAGTGATTTTTTTTGTTACTCACAACTTCTCTGCACACATGATGCACTTATTGCTGTGCTGCTTCCCAGAGGCATCCCGGACAGGGTCATTTTCCCTGGTGCAGGAAAGTTTCCCTTTCTTGAACAGATCCCGAAACTCCCGACAGTCATCCTGTACACATACCAAAAGCACGGGTTGACACCGATATGCTGACAGAGACGCATCTCCCACAAATCCACAGAGGATTATTCACCCAATGAAATACATTTCAAACACTATTTTATTTCCTTGAGGAGTAACTCAATAGAAAACCATAGCATGCAGCATAAAACAAATAAATCAGTATGTTTAGATGAGCAGATCTGTCTTTTACATCCAGGGTAGCCTTATTTCTATTGCTAATAGAAAAGACATGCAAGAACCTGCCCAAAGGACCTAAGCTGTGCTCTAAGTATAAAATCTACAATTTCAGTGAATTTTAAATGAGAAAGTCAGTTTTCCCATATCTCATGAGAGAACATACTACCAAGAATTTTAAAATTCATGCACAGTAAAAAGATGAAGCTGCAGGCATAAAAAAGTATAATCCTTGCACACCTTACATTCCCAGGTACAGGAGAGTAAGACGTGGGTGTTTTCACCTTCCACTTAACGTGATGGTATGTGTTAATTGAACCCAAGCACTCTATTTCACAAAAGGCTTTTGTAGCAAAACCCACTTAAGCATTTTAGGCTGGCCTTTACTTTCCTCCGAACAGCTTTCCTATAACTTTCAGGGCAGGTCTGCAGCATAAGAAACCCATGGTACACATGAAATCTTTAAGTTCGTTTATGCAGCACTTACAACCTTATCTGCCATGTGATCTGTAATACATTTTTTCCTTCACACTGTGTAGAGGAGATGGTTTGACAACTTATCCCAGCTCTGCAGATGGGGAAGTCAGGCCTAGAAAATTACTTGCCAAAAGCCAGACAGAAAATCTATGGCTTAACAAAGAAATTCAGTGTAGGTCTTTTCCTGATGCTGTAAAACTGTCCTTCTGCCATCAGGACCACACTTTGGCAAGTCAGGTGTTTAAAAAAAGATCTCCCTTAGGACAGCTATGCTTTACAAAGCCTTTAATTTGCCCAGACGCACAAGAGGTAGGAAGCTACCCTGCTTACCAGATGTAAAATATAAATAAATAAATCACCGCAACCAACACTATCTGATGGAAACCAATTCACTCCTACCTAGAATAAAAATCCAAGGCTAAAAAGGTAGCTCCCTCCACATAAAGACCTGCTATCTAGAAAGGCAGCTATGGGTAAAAGAAACCAGCCAGGTGCATCGACAAGATAAACAAGGGACAATTAGAGCCAGCCTGTTCCCACACCCTGCCCTAGTCAGAGCTCACATGCGCCAAACTTGCTATTAATTATTTGCCAGATACCAATGGTGTGCCTTATAAACAGGCAGGTATCCTCCTTGGTGTGTACTCTGGGTCAGGCACAGACTGTATGTGCCATGCCAGTAATTGCCCGATTGGGACGAGATTGCCTGGGAGGAGCCGTGAGGAGTTTTGGTTTCTTTTATGCTCATGGATGGCACAAAGCCTCACACTCCTTCAGACCCTCTTCCCATGGCAGAGCATGTTTGCCCAGTTCTCATTGCAGGTGCATTGCTGGACCCTTTCCCACTGTCCAAGCCAGGATTTCCCACACTGCAGACAAGGAAGCGCACTCGGGATGTGGGTCAGAGGTAGGAGACGCAAAGCCACTGCATCATCCTGCTCCCAGTGCGCCAATAAAACTGGCTTCAGCAGTGATGTTTCACCTCACCTTTCCCAAGGAGTTCACATTCCTGTCCACCTCTCCACCACTCCCTTTGTTTGAGTCTCTTTCCCTGCAAGAAAGGGAGGTGTGAGTGACGGAGCAGCTGCAGTCCTTGGATGCAAAGCCAAGACAGGTGGTGATTAAAGGCCAGTCCTGCCGACCCCACCTCCCCATTGCGCAAGGCAGCAGGATGGACCAGCACTGGGTGTTTAGCACCTCTGCACTGGGGGTGCCATCCTTTCTCCCTGCCTAATATCCAGGTCTCTCATCCTAATAAACACCACCTACAGAAATAAGAAACTAAATCTGTCAGTTTTCACCCTGCATTTGCTCCTCACACCCTGTGGTGAGTCCCCACCATGTGATGAGCTGGAGAGATGGACTGGGTTCACAGGTTTGCTGAAGAGTTACTAACTGGTCTGACTGGCCCAGGACAACACAGAAACTCTTGAGAGTGGGCTCATCACTATAGGAAGAGAGGACAGATGGGCAGGATGGCCACTGGAGCCAGCAGGCAGCCAATACTCACAGCAGCCTTTGGCACATCATGCACTTGTTGAGGTCTCCTTTGCTATTCGGGCTCCTGAAGGGCTCCTTGGTGGTGGGACAGGAAAACTTCCCACTGCGCAGAAGCGACCAAATTTTCCTGCACTCATTCTGAAAAGCACAGAGGAGAACAGTCAGTGGAGGCTACCATCAAGATCCTGAGAACAGTTCATTCATATTTAATCTTTTTTGGGTGTGCTACATGCTCTCAAACAGCACCAGTTTGCTCACACCAGGCCTGGGGCTGCCACACTCCTGCCCATCCCTCACTACACACCACAAGTGGTACAGGCTGTATCGAGAGCCCTGCTCACAGCTCCCAAGGCAGAAAAGACAACTAGAAAGTCCAAAATCCATTGCAAGAATCATTAATCACGTGAAAATGAATACATATTTAAAGAATATATATTTAATTTGCATACAGATGCAAATTGCTACCCGCTGCAGGGAAGGACTCCATGTTATAAAGTCATTCAAGAGCAGAAAATACAGGCCTAGAAGTGCCAGAGGGATGCAAGAGGAATGAACGGACCAGAGTGACTGAAGAGCAATTCAGGTGCAAGACAAGCACAGAAGAGTACAACCCTCCCAGGAAGCAGAGCAGTAACATTATGTGATGCTGCAGCAGCCCTTCGCCTCATCTGCTGGGTAACTGGAATGCAGACTAGGGAGAAGCAATGAACCGTTTAGTTATTTTTGGCTACTCCGTTTTCCGAAAGGATCTTTACCAAGGAGACCAGCTTGCTTGATTAAAACATGAATGGAACTGACTTCTCAGTCATTGAATCAAATTATTTTCTGAGACTCAAAGGACTTGCCTTAATTCTTTTAATTATGAAACTCAGGAATTATCAGAAGCAGGAGTTTCTGATGGATCAGAAGCTATATTATAAAATATTAAAAATATAATTCATGCCATTTCTAACTTCATTTCATGAGATTTCCAGCCCAGAGCTGCTTGAATATGTTCTCAGCATCATGCATCAAACACACACTATCAGCTAGAGCCATTACTGTATTACAACAGTATTGTCTCTAAATATGGAGAGATTCACTGCTTTTTCCACCATTGAAAAAGCACTATGATGCCTAAGTATAGTCCTCCTAAATGACTTTGCTCAGAGCATGCATTAAGCAGTGTAAGTTGGCAAAACAAAAGGAGAATCACAATAGAAAAGGTTGGACTCGCCTTAATCGAAGCTTGGCTGGCAACATCTGTGACAGAAAAACCAACAATGAAACCATACAAAAATCTTTGAAGGGAAATTTTAAAGCAAAAGCATTTAATTAAAATAATGCAGTTTCCTAATCCACCCAAATACCTCTCGATAAAAGCTAATCCAATGCATTATTTTACACTGATAGAAAGGACTGGGCATCAGAGAGTTTCTGGAACATAGCACTTTTTGTTATTCAAATGCAAAAGCACATCCATTTTTTGTGCCTTTGTGCCCTCCTTTACTGTGTTACTTTTGTCAGGCTTAAAATCCAAGGATGGTTCAGTAACTGTTTTCCCATTATTCTACATCCCTGCCTTGGTAGTTGTATCAACCCCACAAAATATTTTTGGCTTTCTTCACCATCACTTAAAACTGGGATATCAGAGCTAGGCCATACCATTGTTGTTTGTCCAAAATGACAAATTCCTTTTCAAGGCCCATTCCATTTGCAATACCTCACACAAATTACTAAATTAATACTGAGTCAGCAGGTGAGTAGCTGATACATATTTCTTTCTACTAAGCCACTTAAAGCTGGTATAATATGTTTCATCCTCTTTTACTTCATCAGTAGCATCGCAGGGAACCATCAAGAAATCCTCCATTATCTCTTTTTCAATGGAAACAGGCAGTAAATTGAAAGACCATTACATCAAACATAACTCCTGCTGAAGTCTCTCTATTGTAGCCAAATTATTGCAGCCATATAAAAATGCATTCCTTAGCAAGTGTTGACAAGAAATTACCATTTTTCTGAATTTACCAAAAATTGTATTACATTTGTGTTCAAAGTTGGGCTTTTTATGCAAAAATTCAGTCTGTTTCGAAATTGGTATTCTTTCACTTAGACAAATGGGGTTTGGGTTGGGTTTTTTTTTCTTAAACTGTTAATTCTATTAAAAATAGATGCTTTTACCTACCAATAAAACTTCACCGTTTTCACACACAAGAGAAAAAGCCATTATCAAGACGTTAAATCAATACATGTAGTACAGCAAAAAAAAAGGGTGGTCTTCTGTTATGCCACTATGCTTTTTAAACAACAAGGGCTCTAGTCCTTTATCCCACTGTTTTTATGGGATCTCCCAGGCTGCGTCCTCTGCCAGTCCCAGATTCAGCACAGAGAACATCAGAAGTTACTAACCTGAGAAGAAGCAGAAAAATGCCAGAGCAAGGACCAACGAGGCACCTTCTATTTTCATGGTGAGGGTGGCAGCTCTTTGCCTGTGTTGACTCTACTAGTGCATTGCTCAATGAAACCCAAAGAAAGGGCTCAGGTCTGATCACATATATATAGATGACCAGATTCTCCGCCTTCGTTATGACATAATCTTCCCAAGAACCATCATTAGCTGAAAAAACCAGTTTGATGACACTACTCTAAATTCTAATGATCTCATTAACACAATTAATTTCCATAAGGATGGGACATATTTGAGTCACTCCCTGCATTTTGTCAAGGTAAGAAAATTATAAATAGATCATTTCAGATCCCCCACACAGCCAGAGGGATTCTTGCCATCT